CAGTGGCTGGGCAGCCTAGAAGATATGGGGCCGGACCCGCGAGGTCGGTGCCGCAGTCGTCGCGGTGGCCGCCGTGCCCCGTTGAGGGCGCGACTCCCGCGTCGCGCCCGCTCCGGTGGACGCGCAACTGCAGGAGGGAGGCGACTGGCGCAAGACTTCGCGGCGCAGCAGGGCCGCGTGCACTTTCCGGCTGATGATCGCCCAGTCGTCCTCCGGCATCCGGCAATGGCGACAGCAGGCGGTTCGCCGCCATATCGCGCGAAGAAACTCACGCTCTAAAAAAAAACGCGACACAACTCCAAATCAAGACGTGCGAAAATCCCGACCCCCCCAAAAAAACAGAGAGCCAAAACCTGGGAACATCTAAACCCCTAAACAAACAGCAAGACATCTGGAAGCCAAGCCTGGGAGAATAGCTGTCATTCTTATATAAAAATACATCCCGACATCCGAGGGGGGGGAGCTCGCACCAAAAAGAACTAGCAACCGAAACTCTCAAACAGCACGCAGAAAACCCTGACACAATTCTGAAACAAACGCAACATCAAAACAACACTAAACGCGTAAACTCTGCAAACAACATGAACAAGTTCTGAGCAACAACTCGAAACGCCTGAAGACTCCCAAGACAATTCTGGAGCGAAACTTCAGAAACTCATGAAAACAAAACTTGAAACAACAACTCGGAACAAATCTCTGGCCGCCTGACAAGCACTAGAAAGACACTTGGAACATGCGAACAAAACAACCTTCCATGCATACCCCGGCCGGCTTGGACACTTACAAACAAAGTAAACCACATCTCTTTCAAGCGCGCATTTTTCATGCACTTCAAGTTTTTTCTGCGTTGAGTTTCGGCTGCATTTTTGGCGTTTGAGATGTTCCAAGGATGTGGACGAGATGTGTTGAAGTTTGTCTTGGGACTTGCAAGTTTCCCAAGTCTTGGTTTGATGTTTTCAATTATTTGGGGGTGGAGTTTCCTGTCGATGATTGTCCGAAGATTTTGGCAGGTTGTCTTGATGGACCTCCTGCAATCAAACTGCCGAACCTCAAAATAATTGCCCTCGGGCCCCGCTTGGGCCGCGGTGCCCGATTCCTGCGGGGCGCGGTCGTAGCTGAGGCGCGTCGCGCCAGTGTGGCCGAAGCCCCCAGGGCCGCGGGAAGATGGAGACAGGCTGGTAACGACAATGATCTCTTAGTCCATGATGATGCGATCCAAGATGACTCGGGCGACCCCCTGGCCCTGCTCGACCCCGAACGTCCGCGCGCAGGTGCCCGGCGGTGCAAGGGCGGCCGCGCCCGCAGGGGCCAGCTTGGCACCGCAGGTCACGATGTTGACGTCCACGCCGGCGAATAGGTCGCATCCTGCTGCCTGAGGCGCGCCCGGCACTGGTGCTTGTGCGTAGGGGCCAAGCAACTGCATCTTGAACTTCGTGAGCTCTCGGCTGTCGCTTGACTCGGTTGTCGCTGGCCACTGCAAGTTACGTGAACGGTTTAGCTAGAAGTCCCCTGAGCTGGTCAAAGCTGTCGACTGGCCTGCATAAGCGGCCCCTTTGAGCTGACTCTAGGCCGAGGTGCACGTTGCCTGGGCTCGAGATGATTTCGCGGCCTCCAGGACCAGGGAACGCGAGGCGTTTACGCGCTGCGCCCTTTTCCACACCCCCGTTGTTGGACGGCGTCGCCCTTCGCAGGCGCACGCACGCTGCGCTGCGCGGTCACGCCGTCGCGGGTGGTGACCGCGATGGGGCAACGTACCTTCCAATGTGCCTCCTGTGAGCCGTCGTTTGCACCTGCTACCTAGTGTGGAGAGGTCAGCCTCTCCTCTGCGGGCTGAAGCCCGACTTCCATGGCCATGTCGGCCAGGTTCATAGAAACGTTGCCCCCGCGAGTTGGCCCAGGCGCCAGCGTCCACAATGGCGCCTAGACGGCCGCCTAGCAAGTCGGTGCTCACCAGATAGTAGGGCGAGTGGGTCGGCGAACTCGGGCCTGTGCCTGACGAGTCCGGCCACCGCGGGAACGTCGTCGGCGCGGCGGAGCATGCGTGTCGGGGTGGGCGTCACTTGGCTTGGCACGTCGGAAGCGGGCGCGAAACTGGAAGCGCTGCAAGGGGACTGAATGATATCTTGCCGCGGTTTCCCATGTGTCGGCGCGGGCCAAGGAGTCTGCGCGGCGCCCTGTAATGGCAGCATCTGCTATGGCACGCTGTCGCCTGGTATCGGCCGCGCCGTCGCCGCGAGTGCCTGGCCCGAAGCGCCGAGGTCTGCCGCGCGGTCCGGCAAACAAATTGCTGCACCCGCAATGGTACGATCTGCGCCAAAGAAGCGGACATCGGCGATGACGTCGGCCGGGCCGCGGCGCGCCAGGCAGCGCGCCAGGTGGAGGTCGGTGTTCTGCGCGGGCTGTAGGTGACGCGCATGGTGCAAGATGCGGCATCTGGCGCAGGAGGTGGATTTGTAAGAGTTTCGGTTCGAGTCTGTGCGGCTCGTCGTCGCTGCGCGTCCTGCAATCGTAAATTTCGAGCGCGAGCTGAGTGCTGTGGAGATCGTCGATGTGTCGTCGTCGCGTGTCGAAAGTGGAGTCTCCTCCGTGTTCGGATCACGCGCGGCAAGACAGCCAGGTGTTGCGGTCGGCGAGCCGCTTGTCCACTCTCGCTGATGGCTGACTAACGTCAATGGGGACGTGCTGATTGAGAGCCAGACCTTTGGGGGACTTCAGCACCAATGGTAACGAGGATACTGGCGCGGACTGTGGTGGCAACGTGGAGCTAGATCCATATGGCGCGCTGATGCCGAATGCTGAGACTGACAGCAATCAAGCCCAGCTCGACAACTGCATATCGGCAAGGTGGGGCAGCTGGCTCGGCGGCTCGGGCATTGATGTCGCCCCCAGTCGCGAAACCTGATGTTAGGAAGCAAGATGCGAACCCTACCCCTGCCCCCCACGATTTCTGAGGGGGAGGGTGGGGTTCACTTCGTTCGGGAGCTCCCGAGCGAAATGAACCCCACCTTCCCCCTCAGAAATCGTAGGGGGGGTTCGCATCCGGCCACCTAACTGTGGCCCAACCGGGAAAGCATTTGCCATTCCGGCCCAGCGCTGCGGCGTCGGTGATGGTGGCGCTGCGCCGTGGCTGCTGCGCCCCCAAATTAACCTATGGGCCGATGGATCTGTCCAACTGCCTGCTAGGACCCATGTGACGAAGCACTGGAAGCTGCTGCTGCAGGCGCTGGCCGCGTAGTTGCCGAAGCTGGAATTGGCGGGCCACCCTTCCAAAGATCGGCGCTCTGCCTGGGGCCGCCGCTGTCGGGTCCCAGAACCACGAGATCGGTCTTCCCGTAACCTGATCGCCCAGACCGGGTAGGCACCTGGTGCTGGATATAGAGCGGCTGGTCCAGGCGCCCAGTGGTGTCCCGCGTGCGTAAGTGGTGGGGGCGCTGGCGTCGGTGCTTGCGGTGCTGCTGAGGCTGGGGCGTCGAGGAAGAGAGCGCGCCCTTGCTGGCGCCGAAAGGGACAGTCGCGGACGAGGTGCTCCTCTGAGTTGCGCTCGTGGCGCTTGAGACGTGTCCAGTCTGGGTCCAGTGGGTTGCCTTGTCGGCCGAATCCCAATCCACCGGTCCGATGCTTGACCTTTCCCTCGCCCCTGCTTTTCCCGCAGCCAGCGAATGTCGCGCGGATCTCAATGTCGGACAATGGTGCCGGGAAGGCGCCGTCGCCGTTTCCGCGGCCTCTGCCCTTGCTTTCGATGGCCCCCGCGCACGGCGCGCGGGTCCATGCTTGTCGAGGCCGCGCCATCGGGACCTGGCGCGCTCGCAAGCCCAAAAGAGGCGCGCGCCGCGCTGTTCTACAAGAAGTTTGCGCAGTTCGGGTTCGTCGGCAACGGTTTCCTCGCCGAGCGAGCCGACGGTGTCCAATTGGTGCCAGAGCCGAAGCCTTCTGCTGGGCATGCCGCCGGCGGTAATGCTGAGCCTGCTTGGGCGGTAGCTGGCGCTGCAAGCGGAGTCGGTGCCGCTCCAGGGGCTGGATTGGCCGTGCCTTCCCAGCTCGATCGGGCTTCGGTTTCACGCGCGCTCAAATCCCGATCGCGCGCGGGCGCGCCCGCGAGAGACACTTGGCGTTGAGGCGAGTGCACGGCCGAAGCGAGATGGCCCGGCGATCCTTCGACCATCTGAACGAATCTGCGCTGCTATCCCATCGCGCGTGCCAAATATGGCGCGACTGTCGGGCAGGCTATGCCTTCGCGCTGCAGGATCATGGTGGGCCTTGTATTTGACGCGCCCGCCGCGCACAGCAAGAAGTAGCTCGGGCTTTCGCAGCGTCGTGAGTTGACCAGCCTGCTGCGCCCTGTTGCGGGGAATGTCGAACCTGTTGAGGAGGTTGTCGATGCACTCCGGAGTGAATCGGTCGACGTTCATCAGAGCCGATGCCGCCTGCGCACGCCCCCCCCCCTTCCCCAAGCTGGCCCCGCCGCCCAGCGAAGCTGCGCGTGAAGTGGGTCATTGGCGGCGCTGGGTCGCCGTTGACATGGCCACCTTGAACGACAACAACTGGCGGCCACTCGCCCTCGAACTCGCCGGCCATGCCGGTCAAGCGAGACGCGACGTACGCCGCTTCGCGGACCTCGTTGATGTCGGAATTCGCAACTGACCAAATCATCGCCTCCCGCGCCCAGCGATGGAAGAGCGCGCGAGCCTGCTGCCCAGGCCCCCATGCGCGGTGGCGCGCGGAGGCGTCGCATATTTCCGCTGCCGCCGACGCCCGCGTCCACGCAGGCGACGCAGCTGACGGCGGCGACCGCGCCCACTCCCATGGGAAGAAGCTGAACTCGGACCCGGCTGAACTCGGACCCAGCTGAACTCGGACCCGGCTGATCTCGGACCCGGCTGATCTCGGACCCGCTGAACTCGGACCCGGCTGAACTCGGACCCGGCTGATCTCGGACCCGGCTGATCTCGGACCCGGCTGATCTCGGACCCGGCTGAACTCGGACCCGGCTGATCTCGGACCCGGCTGATCTCGGACCCGGCCTGCCTCCGGCGCTCTTCCCGGCTCCCGGCTGGGGTTCTCCCGCCCGGCGCTTTTCCCGGCCTCTGCCCTGGGTGCTCCCGGCCCGGCTCCAGCTCGGCGCTTCCCTGGCGGGCGTTTCCCCGGCGTCTCCCACCAGGCTGATCTCGGGCCCTGCTGATCTCGGACCTGGCTGATCTCGGGCCCCGCTGAACTCGGACCCGGCTGTTCTCGGACCCGGCTGATCTCGGGCCCGGCTGATCTCGGACCCGGCTGATCTCGGACCCGGCTGAACTCGGACTCCGGCTGATCTCGGACCCGGCTGATCTCGGACCCGGCCTGCCTCCGGCGCTCTTCCCGGCTTCCGGCTGGGGTTCTCCCGCCCGGCGCTTTTCCCGGCCTCTGGCCTGGGTGCTCCCGGCCCGGCTCCAGCTCGGCGCTCCCCTGGCCGGCGTCTCCCCGGCGTCTCCCATGGCTGATCTCGGACCCGGCTGATCTCGGACCCGGCTGATCTCGGACCCCGCTGAACTCGGGCCCGGCTGATCTCGGACCCGGCTGATGTCGGACCCGGCCTGCCTCGGGCGCTCCTCCCGGCTTCTTGCTTGGGGTCTCCCGCTCGCCGTTTCTCCCGGCCTCTGGCCGGGGTGCTCTCCGCCCGGCTCCACGGCCCGGCGCTCCCCCGGCCAGCGTCTCCTCGGCGTCTCCGCCCCTGCAAATCTCGGACCCGGCTGATCTCGGACCCGGCTGATGACGGACCCGGCTGAACTCGGACCCGGCTGATCTCGGACCCGGCTGATCTCGGACCCGGCCTGCCTCCGGCGCTCCTTCCAGCTTCTGGCTGGGGTTCTCCCGCTCGACGTTTTCCCCGGCCTCTGGCTGGGGGTGCTCCTGGCCCGGCTCCACGCCGGGCGCTCCACTGGCCGCCGGCGTCTGCCCGCCATCCCGCCGTCTCGGACCCGGCTGACCTCGGACCTGGGCTCGCTCGGGCGTTCCCGGCGCGCCCGCCATCTCTGGCTGCACTCGGACCCGGCTCATTTCGGATTTTTCTGAACTTTGAGTCGGTTGATTTCGCTACTGGCTGATCTCGGACCCACCTCCTGCCAGCTGCGATCCCGCCGGTCCTCCTGACTTCCGCTTCGGGTCTTCCGGCCGGCGCCTTCCCGCCTCCGGCGCTTTCCCGGTTGGCGTTTCCTCGGCGGTCTGGCCCTGTCTCGGCTCTCGGCCGGCGCGTTACCTGCGCTCACCCGGCGGCTCCGTCTCCTCCCTAGCGCTCTCCTCGTGCCTCTATGTCCGCGGCGAGCACGCGAGAGCCCCATGTTGAAAAGTAACCTCCTTCCATCCCTGTCACTGCGACAGACGTTCACGACGATTGTCCGCGGCCATCAGGCGAGAGTTTTATTTTGGAAAGGAACCTCCCTCCACCCGTGTAACAGACTTCCAGACGATTGCACGCGGCGCTCAGGCGAGAGCCGCATTGTGGACACAAACTGCCCTCCATCGTGTAAATGTTGCACAATAGTACAGTTCAGGATCATACATGGCGATCGCACATGGCATGGGAGTCTCTGGCGAAACGCCTGCCTCCCCCCCCTACACACACGTCCGTGGCGCGCCAGGGAGGACTTCTTTTTAAGGGGAGAGGGTGGAGGAGGACGAGGAGGAGCGGGATAACATCAAGAACGGGAGCCGTGGCCGTCTTACGGGCTCTGTGGCCGCCCTGTTCGTGCGTGTGGGCGGTTTTGAAGGTGTCCTTGGGCCCAGGGCGGCCGGCCCTACAGCACTTCATCACTTCTTTCACATGGGCCACAGGAGCACGTTCAGACGCCCACGCCGTACAGGCATGATGCACTTGGATACTGACGTGCATTCTCGCGCGGTGGTTCTCAGGCTCAGAATGGCCATGGCAATGTCGACGGTGATGATGGCAGCGACGGCGGACTACGATTCCGACGGCGACGACTGCGGCCACGGAGACCATCACGACGACGACGTCGACGACGACGACGTCCTCTTCCTCCCTCCTCCCTGCTCCTCCTTCCTTCCCTCCTGCTTCCTCCTTGCTCCTCCCCTCCCGTCTCCTGTGCAGGAGACTCGGCGGCAACTGTAATCCCGGGAATGGGTTCCAGGGGATCTTTCTCCGGCCATTGTGGCCTTGCACTCTGCGTCTTTCAGGTGTGGCATGCGTTGTCATGATTGCGTTGTCATGCGTTCCATTGTTGTGCAATGCAGCGCAGCTCCTTCCAAGTTCCCATTCCACTGCCTTGCATTCTTCTGCCTGCTTCACTTCGATTTGCGATGCATTGCATTCCATTGCGATCCATAGCATTCGATTTGAGTCCTTTGTGGGTTTTCCATTACACCGCACTCACATCTATACCCCTGGGCGGGTGTATGTGCGGCCGTTTTTGCGGTGTCATGTGCGCGCATGTGCGCGGCATGTGCCAGTCTTGTGCCAGGCCTGTGCGGTCCTTCTTGGATGGACTTCCTACTGTGCACGTCGTGCCCGGGCATGTGCGGGGGCATGTGCGCTGTGTTTTGATGTATCCATCATACGCACATGCACGCACAGTCCGACGCACATGCGCGCACATGCCTGCACATGCGGGAGGTGTTCGAGAATCGCAGATCTGTCATCGGCACATGCACGCACATGCCTGCGCAACCTCTCTTCGGGAGGCCGCGCGGGCCCGCACATGCACGCACATGCGGTGAAGCGTGCGGGCGCACATGCGTGCACATCCCAATGCACATGCACGCTCATGCCCCAGGAGCTGTCTGGGACCCCTGTGCCTCCAATGCCTCCTGGCCTTCGCAGAGCTAACCTTGGGCGTGCCAGGGCTTCCTGAAAGAGTTTGTTGTGCGTTTAGACTCGCCCGCTGCTGGCGGGGGCGGTTCTTCGCCCGGTTCGTGAGCTGGCGGTGGCGCGCCCGCCTAATAAAATACTCTCCCGCGCGCCTTCTCAGCTCGGCCGGAGAAGCAGGGATGGGGGGGGGCGAGGTGGAGGGGAGGGGGAGGAGGGGGGGGCGGAGAAGGCGGGCGCCCCCGGCTCGGCTGGCCCGCCTGCCACTTCGGCTCGGCCAGAGGAGAAGGAGGAGGAGGAGGAGGAGGAGGAGGAGGAGGAGGAAGAGGAGGAGGAGGAGGAGGAGGTGAGAGTTGCGAGGATGTCTCAGGCGAAAGTGGCTTGACGGCCCGTCTTGGCGGCTTCTTGGACGGCCTCCGCGTTATTTTTGGCCGCCTCGGGGCTTTGTTCGGGCCATTTTGCCGGGCCTTTTCGGTTATTTTCTACGTCAAATAGCCAACCACTTTTCTACTACAGCACAGGCCCCGGCCGGTAGTAGAAAAATCGTGGCATCTAGGCCCGTCTGGACGGCTTCTTGGACGGCCTTGGCGCTATTTTTCGCTGCCTCGGGGCTTTGTTCGGGCCCTTCTGCCGGGCCTTTTCGGCTATCTTCGACGTCACATAGCCAACCACTTTTCTACTACAGCAACGGCCCCGGCCGGTAGTAGAAAAATCGTGGCATCTGGGGCCGTCTGGACGGTTTCTTGGACGGCCTTGGCGTTATTTTTGGCTGCCTCGGGGCTTTGTTCGGGCCCTTCTGCCGGGCCTTTTCGATTATCTTCTACGTCAAATAGCCAACCATTTTTCTACTACAGCACCGGCCCCGGCCGGTAGTAGAAAAATCGTGGCATCTGGGGCCGTTTGGGCGGCTTCTTGGACGGCCTCGGCGCTATTTTTGGCTGCCTCGGCCACCGGCGAGCTCGGCCTGTGCGAATACTGTGCGTACCTGTGCAGTGCATGTGCGGGACGTGCACGAATGCCGGGGCCGGCGTTCGTCTCCGGACGCTGGCGCGTTCGCGTCCGGCCAGTTCCGCGTGAGACGTCGTCGGCAATCTTGAGACATCCTCGCAACTCTGACCTCAGAGATCTCCTGCCCCATGCTGGTCAGGCCACGGTCGCCTGAGACATTCTCGCAAGTCTCGATTCCGATATGCCCCGAGCTGAGGTGGTCAGCCACTGTCGCCTGAGACATCCTCGCAACCCTGATCTCAATGATGCCCTGCTCGATAGTGTCTCGGCCCCTTTCGCCTGAGACATCCTCGGAACTCGGGGTTCCGAGACGCCCTGAGCTGAGGTGGTTAGACCATTTTACCTTTGGATATCCTCGCCCGAGATGCCCTGAGTTGAGCTGTTCAGGCCACTTTTGCCTGAGACATCCTCGCAACTCTGACCTCAATGATGCCCTGCTCCATAGTGTCTCGGCCTTTTTCGCCTGAGACCCTCGCAACTCTGGGTTCTGAGATGCCCTGAGCAGGTGGTCAGGCCAGTCCTGCCTGAGACATCCTCGCAACTCTGGGCTCCGAGATGCCCTGGGCTGAGGTGGTCAGACCACTCTCCCCAGAGACATCCTCGCAACTCTGACCTCAGAGATCTCTTGCCCCATGGTGGTCAGGCCACTTTCGCTTGAGACATCCTCACAACTCAGACCTCGGAGGTGTCCTGCCCCATGGTCGTCTGGTCACCTTGACCAGCGACATCCTCGCCACTCTGGTTTCCAAGATGCCCTGCCCCATGGTGATCCGGCCACGCTTGCCTGAGACATCCTCGGAACTCTGGGTTGCGAAATGCCCCGAGCTCAGGTGGTCAGGCCACTATCGCCTGCGACATCTCTGCGGCATGTGCGGGCATGTGCGTCTATGCTTTCAGAGTTTTGCTTGACCGTGCATTCGACTGTGCGTCGGACGGTGTGGCATGTGCGCGCATGTGCGGCAATGCTGTTGAGGCTTTTGTATACTTGCATGGGCATGTGCATGCGACTGTGCGGCATGTGCCTGCATGTGCGGCCCCTTCCGGACCACAATTTCAAAGTGAGCACTATAGAAGTGAGCGCTATAGCAGTGAGTCCGGTGTATGCCCTCCGCCTACATCTTTATGTTGTCGCGCCATTCCCAACCCAACCACGTTTTCTTTCACAGGCATCTTGGGTCAAGCGTTTCCTTTCGATCGCACTGCCTTCTGCCAGCCATCCGGTCCCATGGCATCCGCGACCTTCCGAGCGCTGCCCTCTTGCTTGATTAGCCTACGGCGTCGAGAAGACAAGCGCGACGTTGCCTTCCAGGTGGCAGCCGGTCTGGGCATCGAGCCGACGTGGTTGGCGGGAACCGATGGGGATTCCCTCAAGGCACGGAGTGGGTATGCTAAGCGTTGCCAGGGCGGGCCGGGCGGCCGGGTGCTTTGCTCTTGGTTCGACGCCGCACACAAGACGCGCCGTATTCGGTATGTGCGAAATGCCAAGTCGAATTGGGGCACGCATTGGGGGACATTGGGCTGTCTGATGAGCCACGAGCGTGCTTTGGCGCAGCTCGAAGACGCTCCTGCCCTCATCGTCTTGGAAGACGACATCCGCCTGGTAATTGATGCCAAGGAGGCCTGCGCGATGATTGCGCAGGCTCTCCGTTGCATCCAAAAGGACCACAATGATTGGCTGATCCTGTACCTTGGCTGCTCTACCACTCGGTGGTCTGGGCCCTTGCGCAAGGTGCGCGGAGGGCCGGCTGGTTTGTGCTACGCCCGGCAGGCTTACCAGAGCCATGCGTTCGTGATCTCGCAGGCGGGGGCGGCGATTTACGGCGAATACCTTCGCAAAGGCTTCCCTGCGGACAACGCGCTGCTGAACATGGTGCGTCGGTTCCCCAAGATGTGCTTTGCCCTCGACCCTGTCGTGCTTACGCAGGAGCAGAAGCTCACGCAGAGCGACATCCGCGAGTCCACCGTGGCCTACCGGTCCGGCGCTCCGCGCGTGCGGAAAAGGGGCCACGCCAGCATCGCCAGGAGAAGGGCGTCGTTGCCGCAGGCGCAAGCTGCTGGGAGCGCAAGCAGGAAGGAGTGGCTCCGAAAGACGCGCCGAGCCAGCGCCAGACGCAAATCCAAGCGCACGCAGACCAAGGCCGGTTGTCGCGGGTCCCACACCCTGTGCATGTCGGGGTGGGCGTCTTGCTCCGCGGGCGCC